TTGCTATAATCTCCAGGTTTAAGCAGATAAGAGATTGCAAATTATGACTGTGAATTTTAAAATGACTGCCTCGTTGGCCGAGTGGTCGCAAGTGCGTCGAGAGCCAAGGGTTCGATTCCCGGGTCGGGCAAAGTATTACTGGGTTTAAAAAAATTCTCAGTGGTAGCAAGGAGTCTGGAACTGTGCCCGGTATATGGCAATAGGCTCACCCCCTATTACATGCGACACTTAACATAAATAGTGAAAAGTGGGTGTTACATTGTACAGTGGCATAATGTTCACCTCTGCCTACCCCTTCGCTGATAAATGTTATGTTATGTTATGTTATGAGATTGCAAATTGCAAAGTAAAGTGTGCAATACCTGGTCGGCTCTTACGATAACTATCTGTTGGTTATTTGTTTTCAAAAGATAGATAATTACTTGTTTGTAATTTTAAAGAAACAGTAGGCTGCGCGACATCGTCGCAACCCGTCGGTTGCGACGCTCATGAGGAAGAACCTCTATGTGGTTCGAAACTAGTAGAGTTTTTCTCAATCTTTTTTTTTATTTATATGTTTATTTATTTACTTCTGTATATTATATACGATAGCGGACTTAATGGCGGGTGGCATTCTGTTTTAATGTTAGTAACCCGCAATTTTTAGTTAATTTAAAGAAACAATTATATTTTATTTTAAGAGATACCTCGTAGATATTAAAAAACTAAACAAATCAATTACAATTGACACACATAGGTACATGTCTAATTACGCGACTGCAATTGAAAACGCCAATCAAAACATGGCATGGACGTTATCAGAATTAGTTGACCAGTAAACCTGTCAACAATTGACAACTTTCAGTGGCCACTGAATAATTCAGCGGTAAATTCCACTGATGAAATTCTACTGTTTATTTGATACTAAAATTAAATCATCACTTAATTGGATAACGCAAATTGATGCATTTGTATTCAAGTTAATTGAATAAATTAGCTGAAATGAAACGCGCGTAAATTGTGTTCGAAGAATTTATCTTGTTGAATGCGGCAGTTATTTTTTTGACGTGTACCTACCAAGTACAGTTGTATACCGGATCCCTTTTTTATTAGTTATGAAAGTTACGTAATTATTACCGTCATAAAACGTAAGTAGTTAATTTATAACTGCAGGATGAACAACATAAAACAAAATATAAGTGTGGGAGAGCCATGTTTTGGCACGAATGGGCCGGCTCGACCGGAGTGATACCACGGCCTCACAGAAAACCGACGTGAAGCAACGCTTGCGTTGTGTTTCGTCGTGTGAGTGAGGTTACCGGAGGCCCAATTACCCTCCCCTTCCCTAATCTCCCGAATTCCTAAATCCGCAACGATCCTCAAATTTCTAATCCCCAAAAGGCCGGTAACGCACTTGTAACACCTCTGATGTTCCAGGTGTCAATGGGCGACGCCGATTGCTTACTATCAAGTGATCCGTCTGCTAGTTTACCGGCTTAAGCTATAAAAATAATAATAATTGCGAGTAACTGAATAAGCTTCAAAAAATAAAAATAGAGACAAGAGAGTATTACTGGTTTTTTTTTAATTTCTCAGTAGTAGCATGGAGTCTAGAATTGTACCCGGTATATGACAATAGGCTTACCCCCAATAGGGGTAACATGTAATAACATGTACAAGTAAGTGTTATATTGTACTGTGGCCGCCGTAATGTGCCGTAATCTGCACCTCTGCCTACCTTATATTATGTAGAATGGATTTGAACCCTAAATACCAAATTTACTGTTTCAATACTCTTTTCAATTGAACTATTGTACTGTCCACACTCTACCAAAATGTTAAATACTAAAATATTGTGATTCTCTTCACTTAATATTTGCAATAGTTTGCATCAGCCAGTCAAGAATTAAATGAGTTTAACAGAAATATGCAGTACCTATGTACCTCCAATTTATTCATAATGTGCGCTCCTGTGTACTGTCTGTGTGTTGTACATAAATATGTAAATGAATAAATATCTTTAATAATTAAAAACAATCCTTACTTAAATAAAGAAGATGTATGTAAATTAACTAAAAATCGCGGGTTACTCACGTGAATATACTGAGAAAAGCTCTACTAGTTTCGAACCACAGAGGGGTTCTTTCTCATGAGCAGCGTGTGCGGTCTACAGTAGGCTGCGCGAGATCGCCCCAAAGCGTGAGTAACCCGCGATTTTGAGTTAATTTAGTAGGTGATGATCGTTATTATAAAAGATGTTTGTACAGTCAAAGGTCAAAAGTCCACTGCCACCGTGAGTGATGTTCACACGGCAATGCGTAAGTAATTTCATATTAATGCATAAAAACGCACACGGATAAAATTATGCGTGTGCATGTGTGTATAAGCGTTGCAGCGCAACCGATAGTAGTCTTACGGTGGCAGTGGACTTTTGACCTTTTCCCGTACATAGGTATGAAAAGTAACATAATCATGATAATATCAACAAACACTCATTAAAAATATAATTTCCTTTCGATACAATTTCAGTTCTTCAGATTTTCATACGATAAACTTTTATCAATATTTGTTCGCGACGTTGCCTTAGGGCACAAGTTCCTTGCCGAGGTATTATCATGAGACTGGAACATTAGATGCTGGGGAACAACTACTTTTTAAAAATGTTTTGTAATGTATTTTTAGTTTAGAAGATAGTATAAATAAAGGTAAAATGTAAAATTAAAACATGAAGATTATGTTTAAAATAATCTTCGTTTCAAAATTTCTATTTTTTGCTAGTGATATATGATATTAATTTATGATTTATGACTGCCTCTGCGACTCCCGGGCAAAGGGTCTCGGGTTTGATTCCCGGGTCGGACAAAGTATTACTGGGTTTTTAAAAATACTAAGCATTAAGCAAGTAGTAGTAGCAGTTTGGTATAGTGCCCGGTATATAGCAATAAGCTCACCCTTCATTACATGGGACTCATAAGATAAATATTGTAAAGTGAGTGTTACATTTTAACAGTGGAATTAAGAGCCGTAATGTGCACCTCTGCCTACCCCTTCGGGAATAAAAAGGCGTGGTGTTATGTTATTTATTATAATTTATGATAGTGATACTCAGTGATAGTGATGTTGGCAGATGTGCTAAATGATTATTATAGGTCTACTTAATTTTGATATAAAATATTTAATTTTATTTATCTCGAATTTCGTTAGAATGTAACCATTGGGAGTTCAACTCACTCTTAAAGTTCCTTTTATATAAGTTTCTATTTAATAAAGTAACACATGACACAACATACCTACAAATTAGGTTCCATATTGAGCTTAAATCTGATAGGTAGCTATCTATAGACATCAAACAACATGGATACGTATATCAACCCAAATAGCATTGAATTTTCAATGATACTTCATTAGCAGGCCAGTAGAATGAAACTCAATGACTATTACCTACGTAAAGTATGTTAGAACAGTTTCACCATTTCCTTTGACACATTCATACGTGGACATCGATCGACACAGGACACACGGCTACATATCAATCTATGAAAACCAGTATAAACTGACCGTTCAATATGCAGAAAGATCATTCAATACGAGTCCAGGATAACCTGGTTTTGTATAGCTCGATATGTGGCCGTGGGTAGCATTGACAATAATGGATTTAACACACCTGCCATTTTTGCATTGTCACTTCAAATTGAAATCTATGTTGAGCTGGTGAGAGTTTAGAAATGGTTTTAAGGGGTATTTTTGTAGATTGTTTCGTTGGTTGAGAGGACGCACCCGGCAGTACCGATGTCGATGACGGTCAGTGAAGTGCTATTGAATTTTCTAAATAGTAGTATTACAAAAATTGGCAATGGACCCTGTACAAGAGACTCATAACATAACAGACAAACCTGATTTCAGTAAGACCACGCGTTCTCCTTCTTTCTTCCTACTAAATATCTAATCGATGTCTAAAAATACCATTATTTGTACCATTGCTCAGCAGAACACACGCTACACACGTGAACGTGAGCTCATAACAAACACTATGTATTCACACACACACAAACACGAGACTATTTATCACAGCCCAGCTTACCTTCTTAGAAAATCATATGCATATACATACGTACGCATGATGTTGTACTACGTAGAGTGCCTCGCATTAGTGCGACAATTCTCAAGCAATGTGTCGTGTGATCGAATACAAATAGACCCATCACTCCCTTCGTGTAGCCCGTGGAGGCAGCAAAATACTGCTACATTATGTGCTACTCGATAATAGTATGTATTGGAATTATAAAAAATATTGGGTATTGTGTTACTCAGGAATGATTAGGCATTAGAATTTTTTTTATGGCATAAGCCGGTAAACGAGTAGACGGATTACCCATGGACGCTCATGGACACCTAGAACACCAGAGGCGTTACAAGTGCGTTACCGGTCTTTTGGGTATTAGGAGTTTGAGGATCGTTGGGGATTCAGGAATTGGGGAGATTGGGGAATGAGAGGGTAATTGGGACTATCTATACTATGGATGGTATCATTCTGGTAGAGCCGGCCGATTCGTTCCGAAGCATGGCACTCCCACACTCATCAATAATAACGTATCTGTCCAAAATCCCTTCGATTCATAAAAATATCAGCAAAAATACACAACTAGTTTTCGTTGAGTCTTACATTTGATTTGGTAAAGACATTTGTTCCATACGTACATGTATTTTGTATAATAAAAACTTTCAATAAATCACAATACCCAGCATAAGTATAAACTGCAGTAATAGAAGTGAAACCTCGTCTCTTTTCTAAACTTAACTACAAAAGTTTATATTAATAAACCAAATGAAGCACACCTCGCATCAGACACATCAAACATAAAACTCAAACACAATTAGTGTTGTGAAATGATTCTATTTCGTAAAACGTATGAATTTTAGTCAGAATAACGAAGTGTATCATTACCATTTATCACCCCGTCGGTACATTAGCATAGAGCGCCGTGAAATATTCAATTAGGTATTAATGTCCTCGAGGAACGAAGGTTTCGGGTGAAATTAAGAGACAGTACGACATGTCCTTGATTTTATTATTTTTTGTAACGATCAGGATAACGTACAATGTTCGGAAGAAGTTACATTATTATTCGACTACATTATTTTTAGATACACGCGGAAATAACTCCATCTGCAACTTGAGACATTCTATCAATTACTATCTCATAAACCGCGGAACAAATATCTAGACTGTAACACCATAAAGTTGGTTTAACCGTTGGAAGACTTTGGCCACTAAATCCATTACTTGCACGTACCGTATCTCCCAAGTTGCAGTTGGAGTGTAAGCACTGGGAATTGTAACTTTTAATTTGTAAATACGGCAACTATTAACTGTTTATATGTTTTAAACAATTCATAAAGTAAATATGTCCTCTATCGCTTACATATCAATATATTTATTTACAATTAAATTTACCATGCCCAATAAAAACTTTAATATAAATGTCTCTATTCAAGATAATAGCAATATACATGGCACATTCATTTATAAACATTTGCTTAAATCTTATACGATCTCGTAAACATATTAACAGTAAGTATCGGAGATGAATTACTAATATTTATATTCTTACAAACAGTTCGGATATTCGCCTATTACAAACTATATACAACGTTATAAGACTAGTTATTATCACGTTACACGGTGGTGGAATGACAATACGGAAAAAAGTAAATTCGCCGACTCTAAAAACGATAAATAACAATGCGTAGAGAAATTATTCCAATCAAACGTAATTACAGGCTGTGATTGTTGACAATTACCTGAATTATCATCAGGCGAACGAACGAAATAAAAGGGAAACATTTTGTTGAAGCAGTTATAGTAATTATAGCAGACTTTTGATTAGAGACAGGAAGATTGTTGTCGTTGTGGCGATGGTAGATGCGGCGCCGGTGGCCGCAGTTACCGTCGCCTTTCCATCATTCGAGTACCATTTGTTGGCTCTGTCTGGCACTCTATTGCTCTTCATGCTGTCGACATCTTCATCATCGTCATCATAAGTGTTGGTTCCATATTCATCGTCAGATGTTGCTCTGACATCTGGGTACTGGTAGGCGTGCCTATCGTTCCCAGGGATTTCTGCGACACAAGCAAAATATTTATTTTAAAACCAATTAAAACTGTAGTTAACATGACTTCGATTCATGGAGGTAATTTGGATTTTGCATTTATTTAAAGTATTTGCAAATTGAAATGCAGATTTGAGAGTCATCGGACACGTTTTATTAACAGTTCTGTTGTAAATAAATATTTGTTTTGGGGCTGCTATGAATTGAGCAGTGCCCCATAAACTGGATTGACGATGTATCCCTGAAAATTTAGCTTGCCAGTAAATCTTTATCTATTGCTGTTTATTTTTTTTATCAAACATCGACAGTTAGTTATACAAATAAATGAAAACAGATATGCGAGCTTTGTAAGCTCCTTGTTTCACCTACAGAAAAGGCAAATAGTTTCATCTATGCTGGCGTTAGACTAATTAATATCTATATGAGTTGAAAGAAAGTTAAGGTGTGCAAATCTGAATGTAAAAGTTAATGTTAAAAAATAATTAAGGAAAGAATCAAAGATTTCTTACCGTATAATCTTATTTTACTCTCAACGTCTCCTAAGGAGTTCTTGGCGACGCAGATGTAACTGCCCAGGTCTTCCCGCCGAATATTCTTGATGGTCATTGTCATCTCAGCTTCGAACATCGACTTTTGTCTCACAGACATGACGTGATGCTCCGAAGGTATGATCAGCTCACCTGCAGAACAATTTATTACTTAAAACACACTTGTTTTCAAATTCAATATTAGAATTTCATCTTTCCTCGGCGGAAGTTTTATGAAAAATGTAAAAACTTCGTTCAGACACCTAGGAGTTTTATGGCTGCCTTATAATTTGTTTCGCTTTTATCGCGGATGCCTTACCTGCCAGCTGAGTTAATCAAACGGTATTAAAATTTGAATGTTGAACTTTTAAAGCGTATTTATATTCAATCCGGGGTAGATGATTTTTACTTTTAAAGCCGAACCACAATTTTATGATTTGATCTGAAATTGGCTTAATCTTTTTTTTATTGGATTACTGTGCTGCTTTACCTAATCATTATACGTAGGTACGATGTCTGAAATGTAGCATATTTAGTTTTTAATTAAAATGTAAAAGACGGACAATAATATTGATAATGGTTACCTGGATCCTTAACCCAGTAGTTGATAGACTTTGGCGAGGACTCGACGTAGCACTCGATGGTGACGTCAGTGCCCAGCGGAGCCCCGACTAGCTGGTTGGGCACTTGAATCACCGGGTGGACTAAATAACATAGAAAAAAAAACTCTAAGAATTTCCCTTCCAAAAGAAAGATTTCTACTAAGAAATGTTTACAGAAAAGCACTAAATTATTTTAATTATACCCGAGACCTTTTTAAATCAACTATAATACAATTCGCGTTGGAGCGAGATCTGATACTTTGGGTTGTGAAAAAAGGAATGTTTTTAAGGCTTCATTTTGCTTAATTGGGGCCCGTCGAAATTCACGAAACGTTATAAAGATCGACTTACAGTGTACACTGATGTGGATACGCTTGCTCACTGTAGGAGGGACTCCATTACCGGCGATACACAAGTATGTGCCCATCTCCGAACGTGATATTTTGGTCAGCTTCAACACTTCACCCTGGTATGTTAACACTGCGAACAAAATGTCAGAGAAATTACTTCAGAAAATTGGATGCTTTACCTTAGGCACATTAATTTAATTGATGTTTCAATTACTGCTAAAACATTGTGATTTTTTTATTTTATAATGGTTTTGTTGTATAGAATGGACCGATAAAATTATTATTAACTTTTTGAGTACCGTCATTATAGACACAATTAAAGAACAATAGGTTGCAGTCACTGGTGTCCTCGCGGTGTTTGACGCTTAAACTGTCAAACACCAAGCGGTCACCGGTGACCGCGACCTATTGTTCTTTAATTGTGTCTATAAAACCGGTACTCGACGAGTTAAACTGTCAAACACCGCGAGGACACCGGTGACTGCAACCTATTGTTCTTTAATTTTGTCTATAATGACGATACTCAATGGGTTAAATCAATTGATTTACAAAATTCGATGTTAAAATATACTGATATCTTGTCTGGGCATCGTATGCATATCTTCTGCTCCATAGAAAGAGGCATTAATAGATAAGTTATCTGCTCTCGCATTTAATAAATGTTGTTTACATGTAATAGATGTGTCGCATCTGACTTAAATACAAAATAACGTTTTATGAAAGTGTAACATTTAAACAATATAGTTAGTTGTGCAATGTTTGTTTAGTAATAATATCTCTATTATGAACTGGAATCCAGTGATTTCATTAAAATTTGGTTGACGTTGAAATGCACACAGCAATTTAATGAAATCAACTTAATTTGCTTTTGTAGTTCAAATATAGTGACATTTTAGTTGCCTAAAGCTAAGTTAGATTTGTTTTATTTAAACAAATTATTTTTGTGAAGGGTTCAATTGTTTGTTTTAACAGGTTAATATTATTATTCATAGATTTTGTTCTTTCTAAAGGTCAAAAAAGAAAAAGTTTATGTGCAAATACAAAGTGATATACGTATGCAGAGAGGTTATGGAATTAAAAATATAAGAAAATGTAAGTGTGTGTTAGGTAATAAAACCTAGCAGAATCATATGTAGGTACATACATACGTAGTAACAATTGCTTGAAATGGGATCCGAAGAACGAAATCTCATTCCATCATACGATAATGACCATTAAGTACTATAAAAGTGCGGTTAACTCGTAACATAAAGTCCTTTATACTTTAAAACTAGTATAGAACAGTACAGTCACCAACAAAATGAATAAATACTATTTGACATTTCAGAGAAGTTTTTCTTAAAAGAGCTCTTGGTAATCGTTATTTGTTCGAAACAAATAATTGAAGATGCTTTAGGTTTATGTTGTACTATTTAAGATGTGAATATTTATAGACTAGTAGTTTTTATGAAAGCTTTGTATGTTAAAGTGGTTGGTAACATTTTTCTAGGTTAAGAAGAGTTATAAAATAAACACCTTTCAATGAAGACGTTGAACTATTTCAATAATCAAGTTATATTACTGCAGTGAAATATAAAGGGTGCCAAGAAATTTTATGCACCCACGACATTCATACATTACACCAAATCCTAGTGTGCAATCAAGTTTTAAAGAAAAAAAATAAAACTTTACTCAAATAATAAATTATTGGTCACAGATAACATGTTAAGTGACGTGCTAAGCACAGATTTTATTCAGCACATTTTAAATCTTATCTTATATCTTATACTATTATATAAAGCGGAAGAGTTTGTTTTATTGTTTGTTTGTTTGAACTCGCTAATCTCCGTAACTACAAGTCTGATTTGAATAATTCTCTTTGTGTTGGATAGTGCATTTATCGAGGATGTCTATAGGCTATAAAACATCACGCTATCATCAATAGAGCCTGAGCAGAGCGTGTGAAACTGCGCGGAAGTAGCTAGTTATAAACAATGGTACAACTTTTGTAGGTGAATGTACTTACACAGAATTTATGTCTTCGTTTGAAATTCTTAAAATGTGCAGTAAAATTTAATTACATTAATCGTCCAGCTTTTGTGCTAAAGCGGTAACCGTTGTAGGAAATATATTGCACTATTCAACTGCGACTTTACAAGATAAAATGAGAGTTTATTTGTTTTTCCCTACACGCTATAATAAGCTTTATTTGTGTGTAAATATGTCACTTTATTGTGCACTTTATTTTGTAAAATTATTTGTCTAAAAGTATGAAGACATTTTTTAATAAAATACACAGATTTTTCATCCAGGTCTGGATGATATGAAATTGTATGTTTGTACGCACGATTCAGTAGAATTTATAGAAAATAGTCAGAGACGACGCTTTTGTTTAAAGAAAGAAAAACAAGATAATAAATACCCATTAAGTTTAGGCAATAGAACTTAGAACCATGTCAAATAATCTTTATTAGAAAACAGATCTGAACATAAGCGACAAAAACAATACTAAAAATACTAACAACTTAGACCCACGATACACAGGGCCCAATAAATTATTCAAACGTTATTCACCATTCGTATAATGAGACCTAAAAGTGTATTCAACGGCAGAACTCGACTAATTACGACAAACTTTAAACAATACTGGACGCAGAACTCATCCCGAGAATAGTCACCGCGCGGCTCATTGTACACCCACAAATGCGGTCACACAGACTTTAGTATTATACATATTCAGAAAAACAATGGCGTCCTTGCTCCATTCAAATAAACTAAGACAAATGAAATATTTTTCCAGCTATTTGCCAAATAATTTGCGAATTAATGTGTTGTTTTTTTTGTAGGTTATTTTTTTTTTAATCTTAACGTCCAATGCGTTGTTCCTATGTATGTTTGTATATATATAGGCAATAGGCTCACCCCCTATTATATGGGACTCATAACATAAATAGTGAAAAGTGGGTGTTACATTGTACAGTGATATGATGTGCACCTCTTCTTGCCCTTTCGGGGATGAAAGGCGTGATGTTATGTTATGTTATATAGATGCAACTTACTGATGTGTGGTAGCTGTTGTATTGTATGTACTTACATTAAATAAAACGTTACGTTCGTTAAAAATAATTTGAAATTACATAAGTCACTTAAAGATACTCAACAATTTTGAATAACTAGGAGAATTATAACCAAGTCAAGAAGTGAATGAAAAACTTTTCATTATAAGGCATAGAAAATGTTAGCTTCCTGACAAAATTATACTTACCTCCTTTTTACAATCACTTAATCTTAAAATACTGAACTATTTTATCCTTTGCTACAATAAAAATCTTGGCTATTTTAATGTCGCTTATTGTTTGCCCGCCATAGAACATCGAGCTTGTTAAAGATAGGAAGGAATAATAAGGACCAATTAAAAAAAATTGAAAATAGCATGATGCGGCAATATTTTGCAAGGAAATATTTTTCGAAGACAGATTGTGTCATTATCCCTCTAGGAGATATTTTACTATTTTGCTAATTTAAATTTTGGGAAATCTCTCCATATTAACACATTTATCTTTAATTTACGTCAGTCTTATCTTACTACAAGGGTGCGTCCACATCTGGTGAATGTACGAAAGCGCTGCTCGCGAGCCGCTTGCCTGCTGCGCGCATGCATTCACGGCAATGGTTCGTTCGTATAAATAATTTTGAATTAATTTGCGGAGCATTCGACAGATGTGGACGCACCCTAAGATATTAAAAACATTCTAAAATCTAAACAAATATCACAAAAAGCTTACAAAACTTAAGTCTCGTATCTAATCCAATTATGAATTCTGTCTAGAAAAACCGAAAATATCTGTGAAATAAAAAAATCCGTCGGCATACTGGCTCAATATTTTTTAAGCCGTCCAAGTCCTTGTTGAACCCAATCACTTAACTTTTTACGAAATTTTTTGAGGCTATTTATGTAGAATAGAGTTTGCTTTTAGTACGAGGCCTTAGTATAGATTTAAACTATTATTACTGGAGTATTGGGAATTCTTTTACGTACTTATAAAGTTACAAAGTACGTTTGGAATTTTTTAGGTTTCCTAAAGATGTCTATAAATATATAATTTAGACGTCTTTAAGACTTACTGCCTTGTCCAGCTATGCCTATTTGGATATTCGGATTTATATGATTGATCACTTTTGTATCAAAATATAGTTAAATATCCTAAGTATATGGTTCATTTATTTTATGAATAATACTTTGTGTAAAGCAGGGATATACCTAATGCAAGAAAATGTTAAGCATTTATTTAAATAACCTTGATATTTAATTTCAAACTATCAACAAGTTTTAACTAAGGATATAAGGAACGAGTGATTGCTTTAATAAGTAGGTACACAAATATCTACTAACTACCATGTAAAAGTAAACAGTAATCAATGTAAGTAATTTGACAACAATTACATGTAGATAATAACTGACATCACCAATTTGGAGTTCATAAAAAATGTAAACTGTTTATATTTCGTATTTGTAAACCACAATCAGATTGGACCACAAACTGCGGTATTTTTCTATATGATGACTGTGAACTGTGACCACTACCGTATTGTGACATAGGTACATTTATAAATATTTTTGTAAACTTGATTCGTATTGAAAATGTGAAACGTTTAGTCTAACAATTATGTGATTGAACAAGTGAACAGAGTCAAAGGCCTTTTGAGTATCGAAGGTCAATGTTAAATTGCTAATTGTTGGAAGGATTTCAAACTATTGAGAATTCTAAACAATACTAAATTTACAATTGCAAGACAACCAAATATTATTTTTGTTAACAATATTCGTTTATTTTCTTTTAGGGAATGAAATGGTCTTATTTGGAGACCGATTGTTTATCTATTAAATATCTTGGTACAATTTAGTAGATGGCAGAAAAAGATGTTCATCCATTTATTTTATTAAAAGACTTTGCATCGAATTACGAATAAATATAGATAGAATGAAAGTTCTGGAATCATACAGATGTACAACTAATACGAACGTGAAATTCCACAGAAATATTCTGTAGGTATTTCTGTTGAAACTTCAGCCAAAATTATAACGAACACAATTGAAGTAGACCACGGAATGTTTCACTAATTAATTTTCGGTTTTCTATCATCTATATACTTCTCTAAGTAGGTACTTAAACAGTTTTGTTCTCATTCTAGGATTTCCTTTTCTATTGCTAACAGCAACTCGAATTTTGTGGGCAATAAACCTACCAGTCTTATTTTACTCAAAAAGGTTTATAGCTTACTTCTATTCGGAATTCTTGCTAAAACTAAATATGTATTCGCATTTCTTGATGAACATTGTTTATTATTATTTGTAGTTTATTTTATTGGAAGTGGAGAGAGAGTTTGCTAATACGGTTTATGCACTGCTTTATTTTGATAATCGGACTAGCACATCTTCTTTTCAAAGAAGACCTTTTTTAGTTAATTGAGCGAATTTGTTCTACCTAAAGCCATTCACAGTTTCGACAAATGCAAATCTATAGAATATTCGCTTCTTGGGTACAAGTGTAAACGTACTCGGAATGGAAACAAACATTCAATCACTATTTGCGGGTAGCGTGCCCAATTGTTGATTTTATCGTTCTGTTATTTCGTTGTTCGAGGGTCTTGTATTGGCTCGACACCGGTAATTTGTGTAACAATGCCTCCCTTGGAATTTACCCTAAGCATTGTTATAATAACCTCTGCTATAAGCTCCCGGAGTCGCCGTTAGCGATTTAATCAAGTCTCAAATTTAATCTACGGTTAATTATTTTGTTTAATTGTTCAAGATCAAGGTTGAGAAAGGTATTCGGTTATATTTTACGTTGAAATTGAATTTTAATTTGACCTTTGTGAGTTCGATTTAATTTTGTGAATTTTAATTTCGTGTTTGAGTTATAAGGAGGCTGCCTATCAAATTTTAAAACGATATTCTATTGATGTTTTGTGAAACTGTGAACACTTTTACACAATTAAATATTTATATTTCTCTTTTCTCCTCACAGGTAATAAAACCTTTAAGTATCTCATTCTTCCTACGTCCTTAAAATTTTGGCTAAAAAGACCAAGAGCTCATACTTAAACAAAATTACCCTTACATTTATAAGTAGCTCGTAGTTCAAGAGCCTGCACTACTATCAACCCGTTATTAGACACTAATGTCAGCACATTCTCAGTAAGTCCGGCTCGCGTGACCAGTGACTAATGTACCCCGTATTTATTGCAATTTACAGGTTATTACTGTTCCAACTATTACGTGAAAGGGTTTATTTTTGTTTTGGAGTTCTGTATAGAAAGATTATATGCTAGGTGTAATAGTATTGTACCGCTTGAAATAAATATTTGATTATATGATATGTTGGTTTGAGAGTTGGTGTGCATGTGTGTGTCTGTAACTCAGGTAATTGACACTGCCCAAAGTTCCGATTTTGAGTGTTCTACAATATTTTTCTTGCCTGAATAGTGAGTACCTATCCTAGTTCAACAATCAGCACAGAGTTTAGTCGCTTGTACCGTACACTATTTTAGTTTATCAATATTGACAATTTATAAAATATTTTAGGTAGGTACTTACAGACCTTTACTATTAATAAACAACTAAATGACCAATTTTCAATCAACTAAAACAAAATAATACCAAATATTGTCTACATACCTTTACTCTTTGCCCCAGTTTGGTCCCTCACAACAATCTCCATGCCATCTTCTCGTTTCCACATGACCCTCGGAGGTGGAACACCTCGGGCTTTACATGAAACCCTGGCTGTTCCACCTTCGGGAACCATCGTGTCTCCAGATGTCTCTTCAGGTATGAAATCTGGAGGTATCACTACATCTAGGAAGCCCATCTGAGGATAGAGAAAAATAAATTTTAGATATGATGTTTTTTAAGGAAATTTATCGGGTGAGGCGAGACGCATGTCAAACTCTTACTGACTTAAAACCACCCCGTTCTTACAGGGGTAGCAGGGGCTCAGAGACGCGATTAGATACAAAGTGGGAAAGGATTTTTATTTGTGAAAATATAAAAGGTCAGAGTATGTGAAAATATAAAAGGTTATAGTAATACTATGTGAAACATATTATTATCTAATTCTATCTAGTAAAGGATGTTGAAACTTGCCATCAGATCCGCTACATTGTGCGGTATCAAATCTACGATAATACAATTTATAGCTTTAATTAAATCATAAACAATAATGACATTTAAATAATGCACAAAACACAAAACGTAATTTGAATAAATAATTTTGACAATTCAAAGTGATTTTACGCGAAAGCAAAACAACAAAACATTTTGTATTTCATTCTGTTGACAGTCACAAATAACAATCACAGAATGAATATAATAACAATTTAAATCAATCTAAAGTAACACAAATAACAAACTCGTGTCGAAATTGGATAGATAATAATCAAAATCCAGAACGTACGATAACAGTCTAAAATCAACACCCCATTGAATGTGTAAACAAGATCATTTAATTATAGAGAAACCTAACATAGTTCGCATTGTTGATGAAATTAAATCTGAATCCTGCGGTTTCCCGATCGCCGAAGTGAAAATATTTACTCAAAATTGCTTACCAAGATGTTCTAATCACATTTCGATGGTAAATTGGCACTTAATTGAAGACTTTTCAGATTTCCATTCGACTTATTGAACGACGATCGACATAGAATAAACAGAAGTGGCAATTATACCTGTAGCTACTGAGTCGTGACACTTTTAGCACTTTTTGATGGTAAATCTCTGTATTCGAGGAGATTGGAAATATTATAATTTTGAGCAGATTTATTCCAAGCGAGGATTAATAAGAATGAAGAATTGTTTCAATTGAAATAAGTTTTAGCGTTTCCCTCATTTAATAAGTTTGTTGAACGTTGCAAAGTGTTCGAAACATCGCGTCGTTGCTGAGAGAAATAAAATGCTTCAATTAATTAATTTGTTTCCATGCTACGGAGGCTGTTCGCTTAATCATATTATTATCCGTTTCTCTATAAATGTTATTATTCTTTTATAAGCGCCACAGGAACAATGTTATTGTTTTATATTGCTTTAATGACTAGCACAGGATATTTGTACAGCGTGTAAAGCTGTTTTAATGTAGTAATAGGAAATTATTAAAAATATTGTATGTATCTGATAAAGCTACATTAATGAATAAAACGCTGATGCATATGTTAATAATTCTTACTGTTTATCTACTGGTCACAAGTACGATTAAACTGTCAAACACCAAGCGGTCACCGGTGACCGCAACCTATTGTTCTTTAATTGTGTCTATAAATACGGTACTCGACGAGTTAATGATCGCGATGGGCGACGGGACACCGGCATTGTATCAAGGGACATATATTTGCTCCCTAATGATAGTGGATCATACAGCTGACCAAATACTAGTGATGTAGTGTAGATAAACATGGTCCATCCTAAGCCTCATTTTAAGTACTTAGTTTACAATACACGCGAAGTAATGTTCAAATTATTAGCGTTATTATGTAACCCTTTCTCAGTAAGTAGAGATTGGTGAATCAATCAGCGTATTGAATGCTATCAATGTGTCTACGTCACGCCGGCACTCATGCCCATCGGCAGGTCAAGAACACGTTAAGAATTTTATTAGTAACGAGGGAGTTTCTTTTATATTTTCCTTCTTTATTTAGTTATTTACAAGTATTATTATTTGTAGTGCAAGTTCTATTTTTATTTTGATCAACGATATTGTATTAAATTTATTTGAGTAAGTGCTCTGGTGATCAAGTGTTGTCATTGATAAATATTGTCAATCTGTATTTACAAAACTGATATAAGATGAGGATTGTTTGTATAATTTTCTGAAGTTTTATATTTAGGAACGGACAAAATTCAGACGGTTCGAAGCTGAGTCTTGACCTGAGGATATCCAATGAATAACACGTAACAAAATTTTAACTGAAATCAAATAATTAACTATGTAGATGGACGGGAAAATTCTCATTTTACAAGCAATTTCCTTTATCATTAATAAAGCAACTGCCTACTTTAAAAGTGGTTAAAAATGCATCAGTAGCATACTCTGGCGTCGCCACATAAGTTGCAATTTACGTCAGAATATTGGTTAAAGTGCACCGCGTGACGCATTCTCGTTAAATCGTTCCCGAATTTTCACTATACCGCAGTACAGTTTACTGAGTTACTAGATCTCATACAGTTTGCTGTAAAACAGTGTGTTGTATTTTACGCGTGGACGCGTTTTCTGGTATTTTTTGTAGATAAATTTATTTCTATTGGCGTGGTAGCGCCAATTAAAAGTTTTGTTTTAGATTGTTTTTGATTGCATAGGCGTATTTGACTGTATAAATGTGAATAGGCCGCTTACGATCCGCGCACGAGTGGCGCATTCGCCAAATCCATCATACGATTAATGGTCAATCTACTCAATTTTCGGGTTGAATAACAAATACAATTACGAACTAATTAGTTGTCGTACAATTTTAGTACTTTATCTATCGGTGTTCTAGTAGTAGCGAACTTTTTTTTCTACAGTAGGCTTATAGAACGGGGCCATTTTTTTAATCATCGAATGACTGCTCCCGCCTGGGTGAGGCAGGAGGGAGTGTCAGACTCTTACTGACTAAAAACGACCCCGTTCCTTCTCCTGCACTTCGAGCCGGAGCCCCAGTAACCCGTTAGGTTCTCCGCGACATAGAACGGGGCCTAGAATTGTCCTTTCTGTTGGACAAAAGACTAGGTTCCTAATAGAATGTGACAATGATCTGAGTTTTAGGAACTTACCTGACTCTTCATAGGGTCAGTATTAATTTGACACATGTATTGTCCTCTGTCCTCTTCCTGCACGTTCTTGATGTGAAGGTACCACGTGGAATGGTCGCTGTGAGAGACTGACACTCGAGGGTTGTGTGTGATCACGTGCTCGTGGATCGCTTGGATCGCCTTCGTGTCTGCTTTCACCCACCCCACCTGGAAGATTGAGGAGTATTAAAAGGTGGGTCGTTTAAAAGTGATTAGCATTAATTTTTTTTTATTCGTAGAAAATCGTTGCCCCACAGTAGGATTATCTCCTGTGTCGTGGGTGCGTTTACAAACATAGAGGTACAAGTTCACATACACATGACACCCAGACCCGAAACAACAATTTGTGGATCACACAAAGTGTTGTTCCGTGCGGGAATCGAACCCGCGACACGTTGCACGGCAGCCGGTTGCCCAGCCACCGCACCAACCGTGCAGTCAATTATTATATATTAATTAATTACATATTCTTGTTAATTTAAGACTGTCTTAGTAAACTATAGAAATAGTTTTCAGGAAAGTTTTGAATGACATAGTTTTTTGTAAATAGAGTTTTCTTTTTCTTTAAAATCATGGCGATGCTGTTTCTTTTTTGAGAACCATGTTGAAAGACCGAAGTTTTAAAGTATTTATATTTTTTAAAGTAAAAAGAATGTACTTAGCATTAACGTATTCAATGAAAATTGAATTAACATGAAAAATCAGGCAAATTAATCTACACTCATTTTTAAAAATAACACAGCCTTCCAACTTTACTCGAAAGTGCTTGGAATAATCAAAATTGCCAAAGTAAATTAATTAAATTTATTAAGTAGGTTATTCTTTCCAGTGAGGGCCCTAACAAAATAAAAGAGCATCGCTTTCCAAGACCGTTCAGGCCCAATTGCAATAGGGCAACATTGTCGGACGACTAGTCGCGCAAACGCGGTATCTACAGAGATACATTATATAAAAAAGGGTTGATGATATAGTCGCCGACCACTATAAGGTTACGCGAATAAGTTGATACCATGTTAAATACTCTACATATCTATAACTTCACGCAACACAGCTGTCCGATCACGTCGACTATGGTGTCGTAAAAAGTATTCTTACATTCTACTGTTAAAAAAATCTTGAAAAAGAAACAAATTAATATGGGTGTTTTATAATCTGTTTGTTATTAGGTCAAATCGGTACGATATTAAAATAAGGAAAGGGGTCCACTGCTTAAATTTTACATAAACAAAACTTATTAATTACGCATGCTGGCTTAGGTAGGTAACCTATTTTTTTAAGATGGCGCCGTATGCTATGAACTGCTGTAACAGTAGCTACATTGCTCCAAGTATGTTAAATATTTCCTCAAACTTTATGTATTAAGTTGATAATTGTATGCATTTTTAGTATATTCAAAGTACGCTTTTGAATATTTTTATGGTTACTATTAGATCGAATCATGGTTTGAACTGATGTAAAAATATAGTAGCAATTATACTTTGGTTTGTATTGTTAGGAGAAACTTATCAAAATACCGATGAAGCTTATGATTCGCTTTGTATCGCGAGTACAGGTCATCGCACACCTTACGAACATGGCTCCAGCAAGGCTCCAGCAAGGCTCCGGCACGGCTCCGGCACCGCGTTTTTTGCTTTGGAAACTGTAAGCGCGCCGTGACGTCGGTGCACGACAACCTTTTTGTATTGACGTTATGAAATATGGCATACGACATATGATTTAATGTTCATATTTAAATGACAATGACATTGCTGGGATGGAGTTGCGCCGTAACCCTGTTTGTATGGTAAGCAAGACGTTGCTTCGTGCCAAATTTCATGATGAATCAAGAATTCGTGGCAAACTATCACTTATATAAATGGAAAACGAAGTGTTAACAAAGACGCACTTTAAGCATTTTGCTCACTTATCCAAGATATTTTCTAAAAAACTGCAACAGTAACTAACTATTGAACATTTATTCTGTACTAGAATACATTGCCAAAAGTGTTTGGGTAAGTTAAAAATGCCGGTGACATTTTCATGTTACGTAGCAATAAATAACTAACGTGGCGGTATTAAATAATAATTAACGAATATTCATGTAAGGTAATTAGTTTGTCATGCCTCGTTGAAATGATTAAATACTATGAATATTGTAGTTGACAACTAGTCAAAATAAATGGAGGCGGTGTGGTAGTATAACTACCATATGCTTGCTAACTTGAACTGACTTGTAATATTACCACAGTCTTACAAAATAGTAACATGAAGTGATGAAGACAGTGTTTTGTCCAGCAAGAATGAGTTTTGGATGCTCACCTAATTTAGATAATTATGACTTCATTTCGAAGAGGAGGTGCATTTTACAATAAACTTTAAGCATTTGTATTGAGATTTAGTTCGTAATTGAATATATTCATGTATAACTTCGTTAACCTGTTAATGTTGAATGTTTTAAACTTAAGCAACTTCATGTGAAGTATTTTTCTTAACATTTTGCCATTTATATCTCTAACGCTCGAATACTGAAAGGCCACTGAATTTTAAGTCGCGTTAAGTATAGTTGTGTCACAACAAATTCTTAATAAAAAGACAGAGATAGCAATATAAGTAAGTACTACTTGAAAATTGATATTTAAAATTGAGTAGTCTTTCTGTATTCGGGCGTAAGTGACGTAATAACAGACTATGAATTTAAAGGCAAACATCAGGTACAATTTTAGGTTACGTAACTTTAACAAAATCCAAAGAGTTTTCAATTGAAACAGTTGACAAAGCCATTTATGATGCGGTTCAAACAATCCAGTCTCCATCGAGGTTCATTGCTAATCTGGTGTTGCCAGACTTTTCAACTTCGTTTCAATGTTGCCACTAGTTTATTCTGCCTAAAACCGAGTGGCTAATTCAAGTTAACTAATATAATTAATATTCAGTCTCTCGACTTTATTATATAGTCGAGCAAGGGACGGAGCAAGGTTTTTGTCTACATAGACTATTAATATAGATTGTTCAAAGTAATAAAGGCTTGATTTAAACGTGAATCGTCTATTCTCCACTGAAATACCTGTAGGCGGAGGTGAAACTCAGAAACCGATATTGTGATTTTAAGTTGATTTAATTTTGCTGTAGATATTAATTTCTTAATTGTTTTTATTTTTTTAGGTAGATAGTTAATGGTAGTATATAGAAAGTAAATATTAATGTGAATATAAATAAACTTATAGTAGGTACCAATGATGCGTACCAAGGTGCATTAAAAACTTTTTTAACTGAGGAAACGTGAGGATTTACATAAATGATGAATAACGTAGGTCACGGTCTTTCAAGACCTTTCAGAAAATTAATAAATAAATAAGCAATATATAGTTTAATATGACTATTAATATGACTCACCCGAAAGTTGCCCAAATTGACAACTATACATTCGAAGGTCGCATCTCTCCCTATCGGCACCGTCAGATTCGTGATGGGCTCCCCAAACTCTGGTACCTCAATACCTCCTGAGGACAAACAGAAAAAATATAATTAAACTCGAGTAAACTCGGTAAAGTTAAGCTTAAAATTAGATTTCTACGCAACGAATTGGTTTACCGTGTTTCCAAATATAAAGAAGAAACTTTATACTGAACTTTTCAGCAATACATTTTATGTAAATTATTATGTAATATGAATAGGATAACATTTGCTTGCATGGTAAGGTAATACGAAAGTATTCTATTCTCGATAGTTATAAATACTTTAAAGCTACTATCATACAATAAGGGTTAGCTTTTATTGCAAACTTGAAAACACAATTAATTTGTTCTAGATATATTTATCTAGGCTCTAGAATCGCTTAGATACTTAAGCTGCAGTGTTAGCAACCATTAATGATTAGATTTTTTAAAAGAGTAACCAATGGAGTTTCTTGCTCGTTCTTCTCCATTCGAATCTACTTTTTGGAATGAGCACCTAGCTTCACCTAGTTTCACTGACGGACTGACTGACAGACTATTATTTATTTTGTATTTGTTGACGTTTCAAAAGAACCAAACTATGGTTTAATGGAAATAAATGCTTTGACTTTGACTTTAGACGGTGGCAAACATGAGGAAGTATGTCTATTCTAAGTTAAACTTCCAACAAGTGCTACCAACCCTATTAAACTGTAACAAATTCGAAAACCCTTATGTAGAACAAGGCCACCAACAAACCAGAGTTACCTCACAAACATAAAAAACAAAAGCATCGCGCCGTATCGCGCTTAACTGATGAAGGTGACGTCAACATTAGTTACCGCCGGTATGTCGGCTTATCATGGCCGCCACAAAGTTGCCAACGATACTGTCGCCAGCAGTTGCACCTAGCTAGGACCTTGCAACAAAGTGTCAACTAACCACTTCAACTTGTTCCGTTATTCGCGGTTCCAACTTCAGAAATGTGAAGTGACACGAATAACTTTACCAAGTGATAGTAACTACGTAGACCGCTTGCGCGCGCGTTCTTGTTTGGGACAATTGCGCTGGTGACGCGAATTCATGTATCCACTGTTTCTATAGAATGTTTGCATGTAATTCATGAGCTTTACCAAGTAATTCTGTGTTGTGCTGTAAGGTGTTTATGCTTTGAATCACTGTTTTACGTATCTGTAATGTACTTTATAATACCACATATTCTTAGGTATTTAAATACCTATATAATCAAATTCTACTATGATTTCACGTTGCCTGTAAGTAAGGAAATGATATAAAAAAGTTGTTGATAGGAAGGGTGTCCTTGGGCCAGCCTTTCGATCACCAAAAGTGTCAATAAGCCGCTTTATATTAAATTTAGTGCAGTAAACTCACATAAATAAGGCTTGACTATAATTTGTCATTCAAATTATTGAAAAAATATTTAGGGATTTTGAATTAACAAGAATCCAAAACAGTGATGGGAATTTACAGTGGTGAAAAACGCTGCTTTGGTTAACTTTAGTTGCTATTTGTTAGTTACGAAGTCGTTGTTTAGTTATGTAGCAGTAATTGATTGCAGCTGCAATATGCCATGTCTTACTGAAACATTATACTGTCAAGAATAGCTTCTTTAGCGTAGGCAATGGGCGTTTTTATATTAAAATGAATGTTGTTATGTCACGTAGGTTCAATTAATGCATGAAATGTACAAAACTTCACGCCTTTTATCCCCAAAGGATTAGGCAGAGGTGCACATTACGGCACTCAATGCCTGTACAATGTAACACCCGTTCACTATTTATGTTATGAGTCCCATGTAATAGGGGATGAGCCTATTGCTATATTTCGGGCACAATTCCAGACTCCGTGCTACGACTGAGAATTTTTAAAAACCTAGTTATACTTTGCCAGACCCGGGAATCGAACCCGAGACCCCTTGAGTGGCAGTCACACTTGCGACCACTCGGCTAACGATATAGTCCTATTATTACAATAACATGTTCTAAATTATAAGTGTTATGTTACGTGGCGTAGTTTCAAAGCCAGTATAATTTAGCGCACTATAAACATAAACAAAATTCCACCGTAGTGCAACTTTAGTGGGCAAGTTTCACACGTTTTGCAAATAGCCATGGTTCCTAAGTGAGAAAATTGCAGTTGGGCCCGAGATACGGTGCGTTAGAGGGAACTAAAAACGATATTTTGTCACCTTAACGAGCGCCAAGAGCCGGCAAACTGTGAAAGCTCGTCTGCTAACATTCAAAACATCATTTTGTTTTTATCTCTTACTTATGATAAACAGAGGTTATTAAAGAAGTTAATGTAATTTTACTGTTTTTCAAAATTATTGAGTTTTGCACGAAACTTTCGCTTACATAACAATTTTCTTGATGAAACAGGAGGGAAAAGACAAAACGTGTTCGGGAGTAAAAAAACTCTTACTTTTAAAGTACATTTCTCAGTATAACGACAACTATGGCGGGATGTAACGTTACCGAACGGTCTCGTGGAAGGCAGTAAAAACCGCCATTTTGCAACGACAGCGTCCACAATATCGTCACAGACTGGGACGCAGTAAAATGTTTACAAAATATCCTGCTTTTGTTGTGGGTGCCACTAGAAGTGTTGGATATTGCTTTTGTATTACCGTTTTAGCGTAAACCCAGTCGGCCATTTTCCTGCAGCTGCGGTAATCGCTCTATTTTCGGAAACACTCGTACACTCGTCTTCAGGAAGTTTCCATTCATGATTTGTGTAACGTTGCGTTTAAACCTTTGTACTTTATGTGAATTTTCACGTACTTGTAAGCGGTATTGAAATGGGAGTTCATTTTTGGGCATAAAATGTAAAGTTATTCAATTGGATTAACCTTTCTGAATGGGCATGCTATCCCACATACATGTCGCGGAGAACCTAACGGGTAACCGGGGCTCCGGCTCGACGTGCAGGAGAAGGAACGGGGTGGTTTTTAGTCAGTAAGAGTCTGACACTCCCTCCCGCCTCACCCAGGCGGGAGAAGTCATTCGATGATTTCCCCCCTTAAAAAACCCACATACATAGGTATCTATAGTTAGGAATACATGCAATACCGTAAGAGTCAGCGCTGAGAATGAAAGCTGCATTCGATTTTTAGAAATTTTTACTTGATTGATTAGCTAGACTTTGTCCCATAACTCACAAATTACTTTCATAACAGTATTATAATAGAATAGTTAGTAATTACAAAATTATATGTAGTACTTTATAAACTTATTAATAAAATAGTTAGTGCTCAACTTTTATCTAAGATTTCGATGTTACTGAAACTTAAGAGATAATTAACAATTATATCTAATTTTATTATTACTTAAAATTATTTAACATTTGTTTAATACCTCTATCTATACTGTAGTAGTTTTAAATTTTAAATATTAAAGTTTGACAAAACATTTACAACACTGGTGTGTTGCAATAAAAATACATATCATTGCAAAATCCAATCAAATAAAAAAAAGTTAACAAAAGTGACTATCAACAAACATGTCTTCAAGGCCCGAGTGAATAGGTTGCGTATGGGATGACGTGCTCCATTGTAGACCGCATCATCGCTTACCACCAGGCGAGATAGTGGTCATACGTCGTCCCATCAAATATAAAAAAAAATGTCACGCCTTGACATAATTTAGCAGCTAAACAAGGATGTAAAATCTTAAAGTAATTTTATAATAGTACCTACCTACTTATGTTTAACAAATTTGATAGTAGGTATTTAGTATTTTTATTTCAAAACCCCACAAAATTTTAAAACAGTTTCATGGTTATGGTTATTTTGTCTAAGTGTGTAGTGCAAAATTTTCTCACAGTGTACATGTGATAGATTTAAATCTTTTGTAACACACAACAGTTTTAAATCGCCTCGTTGCGCATCGAGCAGTTGCATGCTGACAAGCGGATGGAGTATCAACTGTCTGCAAGCAGAGGTCGCTGCTGGATATGTGAGCATCATCTAGTTGACCATATCTCCTTGCTTAGCAGGCGTGTAGAAGATCGCAGTTCCAAATTTTCAGGTCTAGGTTTTTTGATTTTATAGACTTCTATATTACAGTTAACTTAACTAAAACTGTGTAAGAATTTAATGGTGTCTGAAAGATTTTTTCTGAATTACACTATCGTTAGTTCGTTCATTTGTAAAAGTTAGGCATATTTGGTTTTAATAACAGGTTAAATCTATCAACAGAACTAATAAAATAAATAACAAAAATGACGATACCCTTTTCGAGAGTAACACAACCATAGCCTAACGTTATTTTAAATCATATTCTTTCGACAAACTCATATATGTAGCATTAAATACAATGTTTATCACAATTTTACGTCCAAATTTTCAACGTCGCAATATCAACGGTGATACGTTCATAAATTCAATGAAATTACCCATCTTTCTGCGCTTCGAAGATGCCATATATTTTCCGGTAGAGACAGGCTTGCCATGTGGACCATCACGCGAATGATAAATCAGCATGGCGGCGCAATATCTACTGAAATATCGCGAGGAATATTTAAAGTTTTGCCTCTTATTATATGTGAACAGTTTGTCATATTGGGTTTGTAGATTGTTAATCACCACGCTTGCTTAATGGCAATGGCAAATGGCAATTACAAACTTATAATAGTTAAAAATGTTAAGCCCAGGTTTCCTTACGATGTTTTTGTACACTGTTTGTCAGTGGTGTCTAGATAATCTCTAGAAAAGTGGGTGTTACACTGTACAGTGGCATACCGTTGGTAGATTTCGAACCCGCGCTCTCATGCATGAGAAGCGGGCGTCTTAAACCTCCGAGCCAATACGACATACGAGGTGGTTTTAGTTAATAAGAATCCCAAAGTCTTTTCTCTTGCGTCCCCAAAACTTTTTTTTTATTTCGTAGTAAATTCTAAATTATTAAAAAAAAACAATACCCTTCCTACAGTCGAGTGAAAACATAAACATAAATCGTGAAAATATATTTTCTAAGGTAGTTTTTAATAGGATTACTTTATTCATAAACAAAATTCTAGATCGAGATAAAAACATTAAAAAAACGTAA